TGAAATTAGTATTCATGAGGTGGAAATATTCAACTCAAAAGAGCTTGTAGAATAACTTAAGTGCTGTTCGTTATAACAGCTCGCGGTACAATCGCATTGCGTGGCATTTTAGGCACGTTTAAAGACGTCTTCATAAACATCCAGAAATGGGATAAAGAAAATGAATATTGCCAAATGAGACATTTCTTTGCAACATAATTGTAGAACAGTCACATTGCGCGTTGCGTTAATTCACTTTGAAAAAGATGCGTAAATCCAGGAAGTTAAAATATTCGTGGTGACCGATGGGCAATGGACACAATCATACATTCTATACAAACGGTATAATGCTTGTGTAGCATCAATTCAATACGGTTCCCGTATGTGCATTCGAATATTACCCCCATTGCAGGGTTTCATAAATCTGATGTGCAGCGCGAAACAATCAGCCACGCCCCACGTAATGGCGCAATACTGGTCAGCCCAGGAAGGCCGGGAGAGCGTCGGGAACATACGGCTCTACTACTGCTTGACCAGACAGGCACGGACAGACGGAAAGACGGAAGGACGGACGGGTGGACAGATAGACGGAAAGACGGACGAACGGACAGACGGCCGGACGGGGAGACGGACGGGCGGATGGATGGGAAGACGGACGGATAGACGGACAATTGGACGAACGGACGGGCGGAAAGACTGACTAACAAAAGGACAAACGATCGAACGGACGCCGCACAGACGGTAGCCCAACAAACAACATGAGCCATGGTCAAACAAATGCGGTCCCAATAGCAATATCGATAGCTAATTTTCCCACTAACAGCAGCAGATTGGCGTTACTTTCGCTCGTTAATTTGCCCAGTCAACTCTTTGTGGTCACGAAGGGCCAATACGCTATCTATATTATGATTTATAAGTTGTCTGTACGACCGTGCCTGCGTCTGTCAGGACTTATGTGTCTTATTGCGCCTGAAAGGCGCCGCGTATCGACGTGAAATTTGGCATGCCCAATCTGTGGGCGTGGGCGGCCTTTGTATTAAAATTTAGGCGTGATCGGACCAGGGGTGCGCCGTCGGCACGTGCAAAAGGGTGCTCTCATAGGGATAGCATGGTGTCGGCGAGATCGGCGGTCGGCCGAAAATCGGGCCGACACGGCTCGCTTTCCGGCTTGATATCTCGGCAACGGGTGATTGCAGCGAGAAGCGGTTGCCACCAATTGATAGAGGAGAGATCGAACTAGCGTATTGATATGGATTTATAGCATAGCACGCGACACGTGCAAGGTAAAACCCCCGGTTGTGAAAAAATGACCGATTTCGTGCATTGTAGGAAGAAAATCGATGCCGCTGGAAAACAGTTTGACGGAATGAAATCGGTGTGGTGCCATTTTGCAGGCAAATGTACGTGTAATCAGAGGAAAGGAAATAAAAAGTGATGATCCGTACCATTTCCTTAATAATGAAAAATTAGTTTGAAAATTTGATTCGCGCGGAGCGCGTCGTCCTTTACAACATCAAAACGTATTGAAAACGCTGATCAATCGCTACGAAACCTACATATTCGGAAAGAGCATTCTTTTCTGACCAATATCCACCCAAAATATTATCGAAAAGTCAATAAACTTTCGTGAAAATGACTCAAACATACGACCGTGTTTTGTTAACGTTACAGGTATTTTTCGACAAAATCCGATCGATGGCTTCGGCAGGCAGGCCATTCGACTTTTCACAATAGCTATCAAAGCATGGGCTGCAATGCACCGCCCGCCAAGGGGAATTCCAAACACTGAAAATAAGCGCCTACCAGTAAACAGCACATTATTGCACTAGGAATAACTCAGCTACTACTGGGCCGATTGCGCTGAAACTTGGACTGTGAGTGGAGGGGGCACTCACCTGGCGATGCATGGTCGTTTGTCACAGGTAGGGTGGATCGACTGCACGTGCGCACGTGAGGGGTCCACTTATACATCTCAAGAACGGCTGGGCCGATTTCGCTCAAACTTTGTACACTGTTGGGGACAATTTAGAAAGGTGGCTGGCACAAGTCATTTGGAGTCTCAGCTAGCGCGTGCGCACGTGCAGTGGGCCAGTTTTATATCTCAAGAACGGCTGGGCCGATTGCGCTCAAATTTGGTACGTTACTTTAATCGAGTATGAGAAGGGTAACTATGTGTTATTAGTAAGGTAGGGTATGGGTAGGTTAGGGTAGGGTAGGGTGGGTTTGAGTTCGATAAAGGCAAACCATGAGAAAGGCTCTAACAACCCGCGACCAGCACCAGCATAACATGCCGTTCAAACAAATATCCAACTCCGACAAAATAAGACAAATAAAAATCATAAGTTCCCACACCCAAACTAATGCCCCCTCAAACGCATCCATCAAAACGCACAGTTATAGCGCAAAATATGCCATCTAGTTCTGACTGATTTATGGCTAAGTTTGGTGCAATATACAAGAGGCTACTGCATTAAACGCCCATCGATCGGCCGAAATTGCAGGCCAGCACGAGTCATTTTCACCGATTGTTAGTATCACTTGAAACTGCTGCACCCCATGCTCTGAATCTTCTCCGAGCTCCTTATAGATCTGCTACCACAGAATGGGATATAATGACGCATATATTGTGTGGACTAAAATACAGGCTCATTAACTGGCGTATTCGTAGCATCAAACGCGTAACAGTGAAAACGGCATTATCAATCAACTTCAGAGCATTGTGAATACCACAGGATAAGTTACAGCTGTAATCAATATGAGCCACTGCAAAATATTTGACAACTGTATAAGGTCTAATACATTATAGAATGACAGCTATGAAACTAAGCTCATTTACAGGTAATACCACAGGCTCTAACTAATGAATATCATTTTCAGCGTATCCAAAGTTCAAAGCGTTATTAAACCCACACATCACGCAAGTCATTACAACACTTCCATTTCAGCATATCGAGAAGCAATGAGCCTAAGCTCGCCCTATGCTACCCATGGGACAAAGCCGTAGCCCGTAGACATACTGAAGGACCGTGTCGAGACAACCCATGGAAAACGTGAGACTTCGGAGGATGATAGGCTGTCACTTTGCGCCTATGAGAGCTTCTCTTCCTCTTTTGTCATCGCACAAATAAACAAAATGAACAATGCGAGCCAATAAAAAGGCATATTTGTGCTCCGGTTTTCATTCTCTGAGGTATAAATAGGCACACCCTATCATTGCGAGTGAACACGTTGTTTGTGAATGCAGTCACATACGAACCTTTACGTAGTGCCTGTTGAATAGAAATAGTTATTGCATCCTAATTAAATTATGGCAGCCTGATTTGAAATTAACACCGAGCGCAAGCTAATTAGTAAAGCGGCACAACGCCAAAAACGACCATAGGCGGCGGAACGATTTGAGACAAGGGGGGGCACCAGCTCAAGGAGCCAAACCTAGGGTACCCCCAAATCCTGTTTTCTCATCGGATTTAGGCCACTTATTTTTCGTCACAGCCGTGGCACGATAATTTTTTTATTTTTTGTTTTTTTTTTTACTAAACGAAAATGGCAGTTCACCACCGTATGTGTCGTTAACTTTAAGCTGATCCTCAAGTACCTATGTGTTTGCCTCTTCCTTATTGTCGTTTGATAAATTAAATTTATCCTACATGTATCAAATTCCCAAGAAGCCATCGCAGTACTAATCAGTGGCGAATCCCAGGGGGGATGTCACATGGGTCATGACTTAGGGCCTGGGGTCACCACATGCCTGCCAGGAGCACCACAGGCCTGACAGCCGACAGGGGCACCACAGGCCTAGCAGGGGCACCACGGGCCTGTCAGTGGCACCACAGGCCTGTCAGGAGCACCATCGGCCTAGCAAAAGCACTACAGGTCTTCCAGGGGCACCACAGACCTGCCAGGGGCACCAGAGGCCTGCCAGGGGCACTATCGGCTTCGCAGGGGAACCACCGGCCTCGCAAGGGCACCATGGGCCCGTCAAGGGCACCACAAGCCTGTCGTTGGCACTTAAGAATTGTCAGGGGCACCACAAACCTGTCAAGGGCACCAGCGTTCTAACAGGGGCACCACAGGCTCGCCAGGGGCACCACAGATCTGCCAAGACCCAGGGACACCACAGGTCTAGAAAGGACACCACAGGCCTGTCAGGGGCACCACGGGCCTGTCAGGGCCCATGGGCACCTAAGTCATGTCAGGGCCCACCATAGGCTTGTCAGGGGGCAGGGTAGGTAGGTACCAAAGTCTTTCCAGGGGCACCAGCGGCCTAGCAGGGGCACCAGTCATCACATGACTAACCAAAATAAAGAAAATAAAAAACTGAAAATAGGGCACCACCAAAATTAAGTGGCCGAAATCCGTTGAGGTTTTAATTTTGGGTATAGGTAGGGGCACCACTTCGATTCATGATCCTCCCCTTGGAGTTTTCCCGAATCCGCCCCTGGTACTAATGCATCAAATTTAAGGGGGGGGGCACCTTGCTATTGGTGCCCCCCTTGCAGAATCCAAGGGGGGGCACGGTGCCCCGGTGCCCCCCCCGTTCCGCCGCCTATGAAAACGACGTTGTGTATCTCAACACCATTAATAAGCTAATGTATAGCTTTAGGCTCCTGTCAAAAGTTACACGCAATATTTCCGACAAAGGTAAGAAAGCGCGGCAAAGAGGGCAAGCCCTGGGCTACGTATTTCAATTTCAGCGTTCACATAGCCTAGACCGAGCCGAGAGGCGTAAACTGAAATAATATCTCGCTGCAGACGGCAGCTTCTAGCTATGACTTTGAAATCGAACATGCACTCCAAGCCATCTCTCCGTATACTATAGAACAAGAACATCCGGTTCATATACCACAGCATAGACCGGCCAGTCGGGACATGTGTGGCGAACAGTCAGAGGACGGCGGTTTTCCCGGTACCGCAGTGGTAGCCAGTTCACAGTGTCCTCCAGATTTCCCCAGTCGAGCCCTGACTGCACGCCGTCACCGGCGCCTGCCCGTGCCAAGCCCAGTCTTTCTAGTCAAACATACCTGCAACATCGGCAGTGGCGTCCGTGAAGCTCATGCCTCCTCCGTCCTCGCGCGGCACGGCCGCGTTGTTGAGCTGCGTCGCCGTCTTGGACGCACCACGCATCGCCCGGCACGCGCTGCGGTGGCCCCCCGGCGTACCGGCGTGACCCACCACCGACTCTTTGTCACAAACACTGCCGGCGCTGCTCATAGCCGGCCAGCGCCGGCCGGCTCCTCCGGCGCCGCTCTGCCATCTGGCGGATGGTAGCGGAAACAGACCTGCCTGTGATGGTGGGCGGGAAGGACATAATCGACACCTGAAAGTTTGAACGTCATGCGTACCTATTGTTTAGGTATACAATCACTTCTATGATGTGTGTGTTTAGTGGTATGGCAGGCGCAGGGACCTGCAGTGGACGGCCAAAGTCCAGAGCGAATAGCGATGGAGCGACGCGACGGGGCTAGGTGTACCTACCTTGGGTATACCTACCTATCGTCTTTTTTCGCAGATGTTGGGCGGGCTCGATCCGCACGGATTGAGGACTCAACCTTGTCAGGATCATACTTTGTGGTTCAACTGAATGTTTTTGGTCTCCACCGGAACAACTGAAAATAGCATGGGCTGATGAGTGATGATGGACCTATCAAATATATAGGTACGGTATAGCCTGGCGAGTAAAGAACTCGCCTTTTATAGCAGACGTTCCAAGTTCCAACAGATAATAAAAAACGCAAAACAATTGGTACTTTTATTGACATTACTTACCCCGTTAGGCGTTAAATGTTTCTTTATTTGTTGATTCATAAATTTCAAGAGCACATTTTCGAATCGGGAGGTAATATAGCATTCGTGAATCAAGTACGAATGATATAATAGAGTAATAATAAATAAATGCGGTTGATGGAAAGTGCAACTCCAGAGCTCAGCGAGATTCCTGGAAGAGGGAAGCGGCCCGGGTCCGGCCTCTCGCGGGAGCTTGACAAGACGGGATCATTTCAGAGATGCGGCAGATTCTGCGACCGTAAATTGCGCCGCGCGGGGACTATCAAGTAAAATTACGGTGGAAAACACGTCCCCGAGCGACTTTGTGTTGTAACAAATTCAACTGGACCACCAGCGTCGACGGGGATTTTTAGTGAAGGGGACGTGTCTGCGAGGCTGTTCAGTGGTGCACTGAAATCAGTGAATGGAGCAAGCCTCACTGCACAAAACTCTTATTCTTTAGATTACCTATGCATCGGTCGCGGGGTAGAATTCGTCCACCACAAATATCGAACTGTATCATTTAAGCAGAACCATTTCCAACCCATCCGGCGTTTGTAAATTCAGGTCGCACACCACTACACAAATGACACTGAGCGCAGCCGGTTACACACAGCTGTGAATAGCGTGACCCCAGCCGCAGCCCGGGTGACCTCATTACTGAGAGGAGTATGTGGAATTTAGGTGATGGTGTGTGACCGATTTAGGAGGTGGGCACCCGCTAACACGGCTGCTGTCGCGGCGGGTTATACACACAGTTCGCGCGACAGTCACCGGCCACCCGAAACGAGGCCGAAGGTATAGCGCCGCTACAATAGCCGTTTTCACGACGGGCTATCCGGCGAATGCACCTAATTTGACCAAATCTGCACCTAATCTGTTTTACAGCAAATACCTTCAGTGTTTTAATCGATGATGCTCTCTGATAATATGACAAAGTATAGGCATATAAGAAATAAGTGCAACTTTAGCTGATAGCTATACTACGAGACACACTGAACCTAATTTGACCAAATATGCACCTAATCTACACCAGATGTGCACCAAATGTGTACGAGATGGCCGTCGTGAAAACGGCTATTGAGAACCGTAACACCATTACCAACCAAGTCTGAGATGGAAACGGAGGACTGTGTTGGAAGTTATGCACTGAAACGGAGCACTGATCGAAATGGGGTTCAGTGATGATAACGAAAATATAAAAAAGAGAACGAAGCATTGCCATGTAAACGGGTGGAAAGATAGTGAAGATAAGGTAGGGGCACGGAATAACATGTTCAATTGTTCAAGACGGAACCATCGTAATACAAATCATAGAAACATGAATGGAAACGAAGGCACTGGATAACATGTAACTATAGCGTAACGAAAACGAAAACCAATTAAGTGGAACTGGGGGAGGGGGGGGGGGGCAACAGGGGAAAGCGGGATACCATATGCGAGTCGCAATATAAAGCGTCATTGACAAATGACCTAATGCTCCAGCACCGTTGCGTAGATACCGTTGTGAGTCATTTGACGGTGCAGACACATTATATGTGTGTCGACCTCAAGGCTCAAGTGGATTATCTGCAAAAGACGTCACTTGTGTTGGCGCAGCAGCCCGGAACTACGAAAAATGGAGCATAAAAGTTACAGACACGTCACCAGGCAAATACAGGCGACCTATATTTGCTATCAGGAAATCCAAATTCTAGATACCGATGAGGTCACTTCGTAAGTGGAGATTGAAACGCAGCTGGACATCCGTGAAATATTGCATTTGGAAGGACGGTTCCTCTCTTAACCCTCGCCCGCACATGGGGGGTGGTGGTTGCCACCCCCCCCCCCCACACCAGGTAGTCTTTCTGCTGTGCACTCAACATTTTTAGAGCTAGAAGGCTGATTTTTCGTATAGCTGCTCCTCCTCTATTCTTTCTTGATATCCACTGAAAATTTCAAGTTTCTGTGGTTATTGGTTTCGGAGATATGACCTTGCTTTTCAGGTCATGTCATGACCCAAATGGCCAATTCTCGACATCTTGCGTTGGCTATGGGCCTTGTGAGCTTTTGACACCTTGATTTCGGCCTTTTTTACCAGTCTTACCTCCCACCTATCATGGAACATGTTGTTCGACGATGTACAGATGTCAAGGTCAAGGTCAAGGTCAACCTAGGTCATCTAAGATAATTGCGTTTTAGGCAAGCGGAATTTACTTTTTGTGAAGTTTTTTGACTGCATTTTTTGGTAAAAGCTTCTCAGATCATGATTTCATGTAATATGGACACATAAACAATCGGTGCACACATCAGTATACACACAGACACACACAGACATACAAACACATATAATTAACCTTGACCTAACTTGACCTGAAATGACCTCAGCAGCAAAAACCTGGTCGGGTAGTGTGACAAAGAGGTTCTAGCTGGCTTGGCACCAGAAAACGGCATCGTCATCGGTAGGGGAGAGTGGGGTAAGATGCCCAGGGTGGGAAAGACGCCCCACCCCCTCTAGCGGCGAAACAAAGAATCGAACCTGGAAATTAATGTTCTTAGCGTAAAGCGGAAGCCTGCCTTGTTAACTGCACAAAAATTTGCGAAGCTCAGTTGGGCAACGGCTGGCTGGTGATTGCATGTTTTTTATTTGCTGCTTTCAAAACATATTTTGGTGTCAAAACATCGTAAATATCAAAGAAGGTAGATAATTTTTGCGTCCCTTGCTATAGTCGTGATACATTAACATGCGTGTACTGTGTCCCAAACAGTTTGTTTCAGGGTGTAGTTTTGTGGCTAACAAATTGTACTGATTTAATGTTACTTCGGTACCTTTGGGTAAGATGCCCCCTGTCCTGATGGGGAAAGACGCCCCCCTAAATCACTAGGCTGTCCTTCAAGCAGCCCGTCAAATCATTTATTACATACTTGTGATGAGAGACAAAAGCCGATCTGGGACTATTGAGTCCAGTACGGTCGGGTGCTCCCCCTGCCGGTCTCTCGGCCCACACAGCGACTTTTTGGGCGGCATCTGACTCTGAGAGCCCTCACGACGGCCTCTGTGGGCCCCATTATTGGCTCCAGGGCCCCTCACAACATCCTTTGAGGGCTCCCACGTTGGCTCCACGGGCCGCGCTGGCATCTGAGGTCCCCACGATGGGCTCGAGGGCCCTCAAGCATCATGAAGACCTATAAGGGCCCCACAGTAGTCCCCGAACGCCACCACGGAGGCTTGTTTGGCCGCGCTGGACTATGATGTCCCTAACGATGACCTCTGAAGCCCCTTTCGACTACTTTTGAGGGCCCTTGCGATGACGTTTGGTGTCTACTGCAGGCTCGAAGGGACTACTGATTCATTCAGGCGATTCACGTGCCCATTTATGTCACTTATAGTGCAGGGGGGCATCTTCCCCAACGCCAGGGGGCGTCTTTCCCACCCTGTGGGGTAAGATGCCCCCTTTCACTTCTTCAGGGAAATGCTTAATAGCAAAAAAAGTTATCATATTTCAGGCACGAAAGTGTGATATTTTTGGAGAAAAATGATGTCGGCTTCCGTTGAAACTCCAAATTTTTGCTTTCCGATCGTCATTTTCGAATAATATATGACATAGTAAAACCCTGGGCATCTTTCCCCACTCTCCCCTATATGATAAGCAGCGCACTTGATATCCAACGGTGACCCAAAACAGCAACATTTTTTAGTTTGACCTGACCTGAAAGGTCAATGACTGACCTGAGAAGGTAAAACTGGGTATCATTGGATTCGTCTCTTCCCAAAGAATCTTTTTGGTCTTTACTGCTAAGCTCTATCTCCAACAGGAACGAAATGGCGCGGGGGGGGGGGTGGCAACCACCCCCCCCCCATGTGCGTTCTAGGATGGGAAAATGGCATGTGCGGGCGAGGGGTAACCGATATCACAATATGACTGGAAGAGAAAACGATGACGGGTTGACGATAAACACTCCCCGAGTGTCTGAAGGCGATGTCTGGAATGACTGTAAATGGTGTCTGGAATTTCGGACGGATAAGTGATAAGCATGGAGTTACTCATGGCGAAGCTTCCCGTTGGCTACAGAGCTCCCGTCAGTGGGGTTAGAGGTAACACCTCCGGTATCATTAGTTAGCATGACATGCATGGGTCCATTGACTTTTCAGACAAAAACCAGTCTCGGTCTTTCTTCGTTCTGGTCTGCTCGCAGATTCCGATAAAAATAGCAGTTGGGTTTCGTTTACGAGAAGAAAATCGCGCAATGAGGTGCCGTACCAGCTGGTAAGGTTCTAAATGTCACTGAAATATACAGTTGTCATATTCGGAACCGGTCGTAAGCCGGGGGTTAGTGCGCCGAAATTGTCACATGGACGTAACTGCCTCAGCGAGACCGTGTCAGTTACTGAGAGCAGTGGTAAACGCAGCTCTGTCACCAATTCACTGCCAGCCGCCGCAGCTGGCAGATGTGACAGCTGGCGCTGCTGTCAGAAAATGCAACTGACAGTGGCCACAAGTCACGGCCAGGACATATGACAGCATTCGTGGCTGAAATTAGTCGCCTCGCCTATAGAGCTGACAGCTGACGGAAGCAGTCTTCCGTTCCCCACTGGTTGGACAGCCCGTGGACTCAGGTTGGTGAATCCACACGCAAAGCACACTCAGGAAGACAGTCCCAGTCCAGCAAGACACACAGCCCGACCGAACTGCGTTACGTAACTTTGTGTCAAGACAATGCGAGCCGCAGGACCAATGGACCCAGCTACGCGATACAACGGCAGGGGAAAACCACCACCCACCGTCATTCCTCCCAGTCCCACAGATTAGCACCGATAAGCCTGCCGACAATTAAAAACGACGTCCTGCATGAATGAAAGTACGAAACCACGAGAGCCATGCTTGGTATGAGTATCACACACAGGATAATGCACGGGGCTCGACAGAGGGAAAGCGGAGATTGAGGTTCGTACCTGAACCAACAGCGTTTCACGGCCAAGGCGAGTGATGAGTACACTCAATATACCCTGGATGAGTACTCCACGCGATGCACACACCACAAACCGGACCGGACACGCCATGCCTTCAATGGGGGGGGGGGGGGGCTGCAGCGACACGGCATTGTTTTCTGCAGCGGGCTGCGCTGCGTAGCAGCTGTGTCGGGACCGTAACACTGTAACACGTATCGTGCAGTGGTGATTGTTACTGTTACCGCACCGTTCCACTTGCAAGTGGACACCGTAACAGATGAAGTCAGTTCGTTTTAGAATTGTGCGACCCACAAGACTGGCATCTACAAAGGGATGCGTAATTTAGTTAATAAGGAACCCTACCCCAGCCTCAGTTTCTTTGTGAAGCTATCAGCCACGCTGGGGGCGCCTGTGAAGAGCTTTCATTGAGCGCCGGCCCGCCTCCGGTAAAGGACCTCTCCATCACATCCTTCACTGCTACTTCACTCCACCGCACTTCTCGCACTTCACCACGACTGAAAGTCCCCGGTCCGGGATTTTCCCCTGGCTGTCTCCGGTCCGGTCGAATTAGGCGCGTGTGAGAGCGGGGACCTCACATTTCTAATCCGACCAAAAACGTCAAAAATAAAGTTTGCCTTCATTGTATTCTCCTCATTGGTGTTTACGCAAAGGAGGAAGCAGTCACACAAAAATTACAAACTTAACGATATGTATTCAGGCAGTTGCATGGCTAAAACAACGTCGGTTCTACGACAAACAAGTCAAACAAGTCCCAAAAACAGCTTATTTTCCCACACGTGGACCTTCAATGTCTGCCGTTCTGGCGATGGGCGGGAGAGATATATTATCCGCAGCTATGACATCATTCACCACAGTAAACCACTCGCAAAAACACAGAGCTTCTTCGCATTTCAACAGCCAAGGCGAACGAGCCCATCTTCATCAGACCACAGCTCAGTCCCTGGAAGATATCTCCAACCGGCGCGGCGGCTGCTACGACCAGTCTGTCGTCGGCGAGTGTTTAACATCGAGAAGCACTGGGGTCGCAGATTGCCATGGCAACCGGCCCACCTCTGTCGCCTCCTGCCACTCGGGACCTGAGGACAAACATGTCACAAACACAGTCGTTCAAAGCCGTAAAAACGTCGGCAGAATGGTTACGAAGGTTGTGTACGAAGCTAGGGAGGATGTCTGAGACACCTACCGAAGCAGCATCAGGTTGTAAAGCAGCGGCAAATCAGTTGTTTTTTTTTATATCGAAATGCCCGAGTTGTTATGATGTGTATAGCCAACAAAATATCGCGGTGATGCTCAAAAGGAAACGAGGAATCATCAGTACACCTTCAGCTATTCATTTATTTATTTATATGGTGAGCTGAAAGCTCATCTCTGAAAGCATGACCCAACAAAGACCGCCATAGGACACGAGTCCAAATACATTGCAACACGAAGTTGAAAACATTCATGCAACACCTTGGAACTATTTCGATATTCCGTGCAGTTCTTGTCGCAAACATACGCGGCGGTAGTTTGGCGTCCCGTCATCCCAGCAGAGACAAGGCAATGACCATTCCCTTCCGCAGCACAGACGTGCCGGGACTCCCGAACGCTCAGTGGCTGCAGGAAGGAACGATGGGAGAGAAGGGAGGGAGGAAGGGAAAGGGGAGAGGGAGGGGGAGAAGGAGAGGGGAGAGAGAGGGAGAGAAGACGATTTAGAGGAAAAGACAGAAAGTCAGAGGGAGAAGAAATGAGAGAAGTGACGATTAGAGTCGGAGGGGGCAATACTATAGCTTAGCCTTTGCTAAACTATAGTATTGCTAATGCTCTTTGATAAGCCAGAAGGCCGAGGGATTGATATAATCCAAATGCGATTGGCTACTATCCCACGTAAAAAACCGCACGGTTGTATGAGCCACGAAGGGGTTGTATCCACCCCAACCCCCGTTTGCATTGAATGCTAAGCGAATACCTTGCCTCGAAAATATATGAATGTCGCTATTTCGCCTCAGCAATTTCAGCGTCGATCCGGTGACGGGAAGGAGATCCGGGGATGAGACGGCGGCCGGGGCCCGGCAGTCGGCCGGTGTCGTCTCGCACAGACACCGGTGTCAGTTCTGCGCCTTATCTCCCGCTCCTAGGCGGGGGCGAGGAGGGAGACGGACTTAGGGATCAGGTGACATTATTACGCGCCGTGCTGACGAGCATGATCCTCCCCTCCCCTCCTCCCTCCCAACCACAGCCTGTCCAAAATCACACCGACAACACGTCTGTCCCTGGAGAAAATCCTACGCCGCCAACGTGCCTGTCTGCCGACCAGACTTGTAAATGACTCAAATTTTTTTGAGTCGATTCTTTGTTTGAGTCTGGAAATTTGAATCGATTCATCAAACGACTCATGATGTTAAATTTAATTGATTCGAATCAACTCATGACTCATCAAGTTCCTCGATAAAATGATTCGAATCAACTCATGACTCGAGCAACTAGCCAACGGAATGATTCGAATCAACTCATGACTCACACATTTTGATGAATCGATTCAAATCAACTCATGACTCACACAACATTTTTATTGAACTTATTTCATTCAACCTATGACTCACTATAGGCATTTGTTGATTATTTGACTCAAAGCTATGATAAAATGAATATGCCGCATACCACAATTGTATTAAGCAGTATAGTAGCCTTGACCAAAGATTCAAGCAGCTACCTAGTAAGACTAGGTACATAGGTACCTACTTTGGCAAACATGGTTGATGCAGTTTCCAGTTCCTAAGTCCCAATTCCACTTTTGAATTCTAATATTCCTGCAGATTGGGCTACCTATTCTGTAGCATACTGGTCACTGGTCAGTCTTGCTTCAATTTCTTATCTTGTCACCTACAACAAAGCAAACAAGTTCTAACTGCAAGCAGTCCAGAAAATACTTCAAATGTTTGTACACATCACTTCCATTCAGTTTGCTGTACACACCCAACAATATTTTGGGCTGTAGAAATCAAATACCAATAACATATGAGGTAAGTATGACTGAAATCCATTTATAATGGACACAAATCCAATTGAAGCAAGGCTGACCAGTTGCAAATCTTACCTGCCTTTTCAAAGACATTGACATACCAATTACCAAAGTCACTGTGCCCACCGGAAATCGCAGTTCATGTCTGATACCCATGGCCTTGGTTTGATATTTAAATACATTTCATAACTCAATCAGCTTTGAAATTATTTCTATCTGTATGAAATGAATCTAAGGCATTCTCCAGAAGCCGTGATATTGAACAGATTTTTAGCCAACTGGCGCCGCATGGTGGCGCTAGCAGAGCGTGTAACACTAGCGCTCTACTAGCGCCATCATACGGCAACAGCTGGCAAATAACTGAGTCAATACCAATGCCGTTCTCCAAGGCCAATAATGATTCCGTGTTGATATGAAAACGGCGCATTTGAGCGTCATATATGCTAAGCCTTACGCACGCTAATCTACTGCATAAAGGTAACAATTTTGGAACACGATCGGGAAGAGGACAAAGTCTCCACTCTAGCACATACTAAACGCCTAATGACATTGATACAAAGACCCCGAATGCATTGACGAGTAAATGTGCATCAGGAACGGATTTTCCTACTTGTTCATCATAGTGATACGTTTGTAATACGCAATTACTCTGCTCATGGATCCCAGCTCAAAGACGCTAAGATCAAAATCAGGTCAGTCCCAGAAACTTTGGTTTTTATTCTATATCTAAGTACTAACAACAAATTGTAGTTTGTTTTCTACGTTAATGAATTGGCACTAAGTCATGATCGCAACCTTGCGGTACTTTAATGCCATTTCGATTTTGCAGTACTTTAACGCCAAAAATTGTTTGCAGTGTTTTAACGCCTGCGTTGTCTTGCTATTGGTGTCGACATTTCTGGCGGACCTTACAGTTTTATGTTTCTCATTTTGATTTTGATTTTCTGGTTTGGGACGTTATATAGTTGATATTTGAAGGACTTATGTATTCCATTCTAAAAACGAATATCTTTTACCAAGAATATTAGCAAAGGTATCAGTATGTATTGTATGTATGTATTGACACCAAAAGCCTTCCACATATGGCGTGGCGATTACGGCTTAGATCCGAGTATAATGGGTAACAATCATGCGGGCAGGGGGCACTGCTCCATGGATCCCCAGTTCACATCATTTTTAGCAGCTGTAATAAAAGGGGCTTAGGTGAGCATGGAATTAATTGTTCTTCTTACGCCTTATATGATTAAATATGACCTGAATCTGGTTCTAAAATACAAACTGTGAAGCGAAGTGAAATGACCATGGCATGAGTGTTTTACTTTGCAACACAAGGTTGCTCAATTGGAAAGAAAATATTTTCTTCTTGCACAGTACACAATTTTCCAAATGAATTTCGGGAACGGGTCCATCTGGTTCCAATGCTGACCTAGACCGGGTCTGACCGGTTCTGGAAATGTGCCAGTCAGACTGGGTCCGGGTCCGGGTCCGGGTCCCAAAATTTTCCAGTTTTGCCACCTCTAGTAGGTACCTAGGTACCAACTGCCAAATGCTTTTGGCTCATTAGGCGCCTGTGCCTGAGCCTCTGAGGCTCTTGTAAGTCTGAAATATGGAGTTAAGTGATGGCTAAAGCTGAGGGGGTGATCTAGCATTGATTATTAGGGTGTTGATGGTGACTTGTAAACGACTCAAATTTTTTTTGAGTCGATTCTTTGTTTGAGTCTGAAAATTTGAATCGATTCATCAAATGACTCATGATGTTAAAGTTAATTGATTCGAATCAACTCATGACTCATCGAAAAACGGTTTGATTCTGAGTCGATTCACGAATCAACTCAGAGTCGTTTACAAGTCTGCTGCCGACAAGACCTCATGCAGACGCTACTGGACACTGCCCCCTACACCTATCCCCATCACGTAGCCTTCGGGCGACGACCCCGACCCCGACCCCCACCGCCGGCGGGCAGCCCGCGGTCGACCGACTCGTTCGTTAGTCCGTGCGGCGATGCGGCAGGCGGGCTCGTTACAGATGCCTCGTATGTCGCTCTGCTCCATTAGTTCGCAGGTTCGCGGCGACGGCGCAGCCGGCAGGGAGTCGGCCGCGGGTCCTACAAACAAGGCCAGTAAACAGAAGCCACGACCGCGCGCACATTGCTGCGACAGTGAGGATTAACGTTAATGCAACGGCGCAGTTTTAGACTTTAGTGGAAAGAAGGTGCAGTTTCAGTAGAAAGACAGTCGATTTCGGACACGTGTGGCGAAGCAGTGTTCTAAGAGGAAGCAAAATTTATCATTTTAGATTTATGGTGACCTGAGAGACACTAACGTGGGGTCAGTGCTTCGGGGTCAAAGTCTCGAGGTTGGTGTCCGAGTGTTAGTGTTTAAAGTGTCCGTCTCGGGGTCAGACGGAGTCAATGGCTCATCTCTCTATCTCGGGGTCACTGTCTCTCTGTCCAGGGGTCATTGTCTCTCTGTCCCGGGGTCACTGTCTCTCCACTCTCACGGTCCATGCCCTGTCCCGGGGTCACCAGCCGGTCGGCGGCCGCTCGCCTCCGTCCCCTCCCCCGGGAGTCCCTGTCCCGACCCCGGCCGCCCGCGCTCCCGCCGGGCAGCCGTGTCCATCGGCCGGCCGGCAAACCCTATTTGCCGGCCACTCACGGTCGCGATGGAGGACCGGGGGCGCTCGGCCGAGAGCGCCGCGCCAGCCCCGGGTGGTGGTGGTATCACACTGGTACTGCATATAAGGCTGATATGGTATGCCTGTACCACTGCAGCTACATAGCTCCGGGCGCCAGCCGTATCGCGCTGGTAAGGCCGGCAAGGGTGGTATGTCTGTACCACAGCATGTTGCACAGCTCTCGGTGGCAGCACTACCGCACAAGTGTGGTAAACAAAAGGGGTGATATATCCGTACCATGGACGTTATATAGCTCCGGGTCGCTGCAGCATCATCCTGGTACAACAGACAAGGGTGGCGCGTCCGTACCAAAGCAGGGCGTATCGGACCTTCCAGCCATGCCAGACAATATGTGAGCGCAAATATGAGCATCTCGCTAGGGAAGAAAGAAAAGATACAAT